AAACGCCCTGGGTGGCTAAATAGCAACCTCAAGAAAGAAATCAACAGGAAGCACAAATTGTGGAGAAAATACTGCGTCACTAGACAAGCTGAATGCTTCAACACCTACAAGACACAGAGGAACAAACTGAGGAAGCTGATAATGCAGACGCGGTGGGAATTCGAGAATAACTTGCTACAAAACGCAACGCAGAACCCAAAATTGCTCTACAGCTACCTCCGACGAACTACAAGGAACAGGCATCAAATCCCCTTGATAAAGACTACTGATGGCGTTGAGATCGCTGATAGTAGGGATAAAGCTGCGTATTTTTCACGGTTTTTCCAATCAGTCTACACAAACGAGGCAAGGTTCCTTCCTCCCTCCACAGAAGAACTGCCGACTCCAAGCGTCAATGATATACTATTCTCAGAAGGCATTGTCCGAAGAGAATTAAACGCATTGAACGAATCGAAGTCGCCAGGACCAGACGAGATTCCACCCAAGCTTCTGAAGGAACTTGCCAGTGAGCTCTCTGTGCCTTTGTCGATGCTCTTTCAAACGTCATTTGACACTGGAACACTTCCTGTCGATTGGAAGCTGGCGCATATTACTCCGCTACACAAAGGAAGTAACAGGGCAACGACAACAAATTACCGGCCCATAAGCTTGACATGCATTCTCTGCAAAGTTATGGAAAGGATCATAAAGACTGAACTGATGCAATTCCTGGAAGTTCACGGCCTGCTATCGAAATGCCAACATGGGTTCCGAAAAGGAAGATCCTGCACGACAAACCTGCTGCAATCTCTCCAGAGCTGGACCCGAGCTCTCGACGACAGGCACGCGGTCCACATAGCCTTCATCGATTTCCAGAAGGCTTTCGACACTGTGCCACACCAAAGGCTCTTACATAAGCTGAAAAAATAGGGGTCGGTGGCAACTTCCTTAAATGGATCGAAAACTTCCTTGTGGGTCGACACCAGGTTGTGTGCGTCGGTCGGGGAAAATCAGATCCGGCTATGGTCGATAGTGGTGTCTCCCAGGGTTCAGTTCTGGGACCCATTTTGTTCCTTATCTACGTGGACGATGCCGCAAGAGATTTAGACTGTGAAGTAGCAATGTTTGCGGATGACATGAAGATATGGAGTGTAATTCGGGGTCCTGCCGACGAAGACAGACTGCAGATGAACCTGAATCGGTCGGAGGAGTGGTCAAACCGTTGGCTCCTGCGGTTCAACGTTGCCAAATGTAGCATACTTCGCCTAGGTAACACAGCCAGATCCGCCAGCACAAGAGGCTACTTTCTGGGCGGTGCAGCCCTACAAGAGGTCGAAGCCCAAAAGGACCTCGGTGTGCTTACGACGAGTTCCCTAAAACCATCCGCCCACTGTTCGAGGGTGGCAAAAGCGCAATGTCCGTACTGTACGCCATCAAGTGTGTGTTTATGGACTTTGACGAAGAAGCTTTCTCTAAGACATTCGGAACATTCGTCCGGCCGCATTTAGAGTACGGCATACAAGCTTGGAGGCCGTGGGCTGTTGTGGATCAAAACTGCCTCGAAAGAGTCCAGAGAAGAGCCACGAAGATGGTTAGGGGTCAAAGCTCCTTTCCTTATGCAACACGCCTAGTAAATCTGAAACCCTTTCCTTTGAGTTACAGGCAAATTCGCGGAGATCTCTTGCAAGCCTTCCGCATTGTAAAGGGTTTGGATTGCAGTCTGGCCTTCGAGGACTTTTTTGAATTTGCTACCACGACCAACCTCCGAGGTCACCCGTTAAAACTGCGCACTCAGCAGGCACGGCTGGATGTGCGGAAGTTCTCCTTCTCGGTTCGGGTGGTCAAACCATGGAATGAGCTTCCCGCAAATGCTGTGATGTCACCAACTCTACAAAGTTTTAAGAAGAATCTGGACATATTTATGTTCCGAAATGACGAAGAGCGATGAGAAGTCGAGCTCACCCCCTGTAATCCGTTCTCATTTTGTCCTACAATTATGGGCGTGTTTGAACTATTTCAGCCCAGAACATCTATCTGTACACCACACATTTTTTTACGTTGCAAATAGGGTACTCAAAGGCTTACGCCTATTTCCCTCAATAAACTGAACTGAACTGAACTGAACATATATATGTTCTCATTTACTTAAATCTGATAGCATATATTGAATACCGGTGTATTCGCTGGCATGAAAATCAGGGGGTGTGAATAAGGATTAATTCAACCTTGATTTTGATCCAAGACCCCCAAGAAGTCTGGACTATCATACGAAAGCGCTTGA